TATCAACCAACAAATGTCTTTATCAAGTCTCTCGGCCGTGTGCAATTCAAAGCTTAATTAATTTTGTTAACAAGTTTGACATTTATAACTTCCGTACTCCAACATTGGTTAGATTATTTGAGAATATTTGTGTGTATTAGGATAACTCTTCTCTATTAAACAGATTAGTACTTCCAAATGATGATACCTAGCTAATGAAATGTATTAATTTTCCAATATTTTGATATAAACCCGATGATAATGAAATGTTTGTGAAATATTTAGTAAAAACCACACCTAATTTTAGCTCGAATATACAATAATCACACAATCGAAAGCCGGTTTGGCTTTACAATTCTTCTGAACTCGGTCTAGACAACGCTAGCACATGTAAAGTTTTCCATTTTACCGCTAACGCTTGGAGGTAAGTTCTCCCTTCTTCCCCGCTTCGCGTTATCGCTCACCGGGAACCTCTGTATTTCGACGGGTCCCTCCACTAGTTCACCGAGGGTCAAGAAGAAACTTTTCAAGTCCTCTCCAAAGCTCATTTTGTCGTCGTCGACCAACCTCAACAAGATATCGCCATGTGCAGCCTCGATGACCGTTTCTTCGTCACGAAGAAGAAGCATTCCGACCAAGTGCAAATCATATGGTCCTTTGATTCAGGGAATAAGACATGGTTGCAGTTGTACTCCATAGACCTCAACGTAACTTCTTCTTGGTTTGGGATCCACACATTGCCACAGTAACGACTAAGTTACTGTTGTATGACCGCGAGTACTATGAACATAAGCAACGGCTCGTCTTGCACGATCCCGAAACCAAATCTTACCATCTAATTTTCACTGCCAAATCTATTGAACATCCTCACTATTATTTCCAGAGTTTGATCTCTGTTTCGGAATTTCATTTGTGTAACATTGTAATTTCACTTTTTTCTATTCTTATGCTTGTATTACCACTAAAGACAAAACAAAAGTGTGATCCACTAGGAATATTTAAGTTAAATTCAAAGTCTGATTCAAGAGAGAAACTTCATGTTCCAATTTATACACACAAGATAAAACTCTAAAGACCACATTTCCCTATCCGTAGAATCCAAAAAATAATGACTAGAGTAATGCACAAGCAAAATTGAACAGAGCATTCTCTACTTCTTTGTAGCTGTGTCACATTCTTGGTTCTTTGGGAGGAGGCAGTTTTTCCATCACCCAGCTTGGACAATCAGTTAACCAGAGAGCTACACGGGTGTCTTTGTGCACAAAATCCGGGCCCTTTACGTTTTGCTACATGGATTAGAATTATAAACGGTTAGTACTCGACGGTGAAAATAATGTAAAAAAGGATTTGATTACCTTGCTCAATCTGTTGTCCCACCAATTGTTCATGTTTTCCACCAATTCTTTCCATGCTTCCTCTCCAGCTTTACATGTTACACAGAAGTAAGATTGTTAAACAAATAAACAAAATCCGAGTTCCATCTCTGTCATTCCAATTCATAGAATGTTGAAGATTTATTGGTAAGAGAATTATTTCCTTACCCTTTGATTGTTTTGGGTATGTTGATTGAACGGGAATATCGAACTTCACATCTTTAAGATCGGACAATATCTCTTTGGGAGCTTTGTTAAGCCAAAGCGATACACTCCCATCTTTCTTCTTGAAATCAGGGTATTTAGGATGTACCTGTAGCAGAGGTATCAAGGGAATCACTTTCACAAATGAGTATGGCGGAATGTAACAAATAGATCCACTAAGAAAAGTTTAGTTACCGATCCGTTCTGTTTGCTTTCGCGGTAATCACTCCATTCATCCGATTTATGAAGAAGATCAAACCAATGATCAGTTCCAACATTCCTAACTTGTTGAAGGCTCACTAAGAACAAGAAGACGAGTGTTCATGGTTAATTATCGGTATTAGATTGGACAAGAAACAAAATCCGAGTTGCGTCTTCGGGATCAGAGACAAGAAGTGTTGTCATTCCAATTCATAGCATATTGAAGATTTATTGGTGAGAAAATTAGTTCCTTACCTTTTGGTTGTTTTGGGTATGTTGATTTAACGGGAATATCGAACTTCACATCTCTAAGATCGGACAATATCTCTTTGGGAGCTTTGTTAAGCCAAAGCGCTACACTCCCATCTTTCTTCTTGAAATCAGGGTGTTTAGGATGTACCTGTAGCAGAGGTATCAAGAAGAAAAAAAAGGTAATCACTTTCACAAATGAGTATGGCGGAATGTAATAAATAGATCCACTAAGAAAAGTTTAGTTACCGATCCGTTCTGTTTGCTTTCACGGTAATCACGCCATTCATCCGATTTATGAAGAAGATCAAACCAATCATCAGTTCCAACATTCCTACCTTGTTGAAGGCTAGCTAAGAACAATAAGACGAGTGTTCATGGTTAACCATCGGTATTAGATAGCCAAATCATCTTCTTTTTGATATGCATTGTCCCTTACCAGAATGCTTTAGCACACCTTCTTTTTGATCTGATGATGTTGGCAAAACTTTTGGTAGGGCTTTAGAACCATCAATGTAATGGAGATCACGAACCATTACCTGATGTAAAAAAAAGTAACAATGGAAGCTATTCAAAAGATCCCAGTCCAAGTTTTCAGTAATCATGTGATAACTCGTCTCTGTTTTCTACAATGTGCTAATTTATAATCTTACTTGAACTACTTGAACATATTCTTGGTCAGGTTCTGCTCCAGATGGATTAGTATCTACGAAAACCTGTCCGGTAATATGCACACGATCGTTTTTCTTCAAATGACAGTTAGCAGTATGAGCTAACTCCCCTTCAAATACCACCGGAATCCTGATTTACACAGCAACATAGATCAATGAATATCGTATCGATACAATATAGCAAAATGCATCATCCTAACAAAATCATTGCATTTTCAACTTCAGAACAGCCAAAATCAAGCAAAAGATTGACATGACTCTAGTAGATTTTTCAAGTTTAAACATGTCCAAAGTGAAATCTACTTAGCATTACAAGAACCAAATCATAGTCTCGAATTCAAATTCATGGCTTAGCTCAAATTCCGAGTCCCAACATGCAAAACTCGAAACCCAAATAGAAACAAGAACTCAAAACCCTTACAAGAATTTAGGATCCGATTCGGTGTCGGAATCAGACGAAGGTCCGTTCGAAATGACGGTGCCTGCATAGAAACTTCCGTCGTGGTTTGCTTGGAACTGAACGGGTAGTTTCACGTACCCAACCAAATCAATTGAGTTCGCGATTTTGGGTTGGTACGGTATCTTCGTCGGTCTCGGCCACGCCTCCGACGATTTCTCCGGTATCACAGATTCCGATTGAGTAAAGCTACTTTTGACAGACGAGGTTGAATGAAATCGCTGAGACAAAACCCATGATTGTTGTCTAGCTCTTGAATTCAACGAAGATCTTATCGAATTCGACAGTGATCTTGCGAGAAACTGCATTTTGTGTCTACTCTGTTTCGCCAAAAAGATTGAAACTTTAGGGTTTATGAGAGGTTTTCTTTAGAACGAC